GTAAATGAAAGTGAGTGAGAGGAAGCTGTCTTTTTCATCTCTGACTCAACTTTGTAACAAGAAGGCAGAGCATTTAAAGAAAGTAGACAAACATTTACAGGTCTTTGGATCAAAGAAAAATATGGAGAATCAAAGTCACAGATTCCTAGCAAGTGGAAGAGAAAAGATCCACTGCAGGTAGAGTGGCCAGGTGGGTGGGTTCCTTACAAGCTCGGGAGAGCTAGTAGGCAGCAGTCATGTGGCTGCCCATAGCAAAGATGGCCATAAGGTCATATGACCTGCCCTTAGCCAAGATGGCACCTGCTCGTGTGTTGCAAGGCACTGAGAAACCACATGTTTAGAGCAGTCACACAAATTTTAAACAGACCCAATTGACAAGACAAACATACAGAACATGTAAAACATACATTTAAAACAGAATTACATTGTGTGGTCACATGATTTACACATTCTTTAATACATGACGTAGACAGGAAATCTCCCCCAGCATATGCTGCCAGCTTGCAGCTGGACAGGAAAGAACAAGGGAGAATTATGAACATTCCTCCACAAAAAAAAAGGTCACACTTCCAACTACTGTATCACTGGCAGAATGTAGGGTGTCCATAAGTGGCTATGTGTTTTAGTTTAGGTGAAGGGGGCAGTTCCCACGAGTGAGGTAGAGATAAGGTCAAGAGACTGAACTCCTGCATACAGTCAGGGAACTGCTTTCCATGCACAGAAGGGTGAAGTGCAAGGTTCCCAAGGGGCCGGACCAAGGTGTGCCTAGATACTAACAACTTTAAACATGTAGGAATTTTTTTTTTTTTTTGAGAAATCATACTATCCTGGTAAGGATGTTTTAATATTTAAGTTGACCCCTTTAGTTGTTGAAATGTATTTATTCTGTTCATTTTGTTTTTGTGTGTGGTGTATGTATACATTTACATAGGTGTGTCCTAACAGCCAGAGGATTAATGTCAGATGTTTTTGTCATTTGCTCTCCCCCTTATATTTTGACACAGGGTTTCTCAAAACCTGTTGTTCACCAACAGACTGAGCTGTCTAGCCAGTAAACTCCAGAGCCGAGTGTTACCTCCTGCAGCATTGTGTTTGCAGATGTGTACCACTGCTCACCTGGCTTTTGTAGTTATTGGGAATCCAGAATGAGGTCTTAAACTTGTGTAGTACACACATTACTCCAGCCCTCTCTCCCTAGCCTCATGTCTGGAAATCATTTCTAAATAAAGTTGAGTTTACCTTTACTTTTCATAGTAAAATCTAACACTGGATCAAGAAAGCAAGTCTTCATTGGATTTGCTTTTAAAATAAAATTTAACACATGAATTTGAATCAAATTTCCCTTTATTTGATTCAACAAATAAATATCCTGTTATGTAAGACATCAGATATGAAGGTTAAACTTTATTGTCATCTTGGTGTGGTATTTAGAATTGTCACAGAAACAAACTTCTAGGCATGTATTGATATGTTATCATATTAGGTTAATCTACATGAAAAGAATCCCCTTCCCCTCTATGAGTGATGCTATTCTATGGGCAGGGTAATCATAGTGAATAAAAAAGAGAAAACCAGATGAACATAACTGTTCATTGCTCTGCTTCTTGACTCTGAACCCAGTGTAACCAGGTGCTTCATCTTCCTGCTGCTATGCCTTTCCAGAAAGGATGGAATATAGCCCCTGAACTGTATACCAGAATAAACCTATCTTGTGTTTCTCTTGCAATCTGGGGAGGAAAAGGTTCTTTTAAACTTACATTCCGCATCATAGTCCATCATGGAAGGGAGTCATGAAGCAGAAGCCATGGAGGAATGCTGCTGAGGGGTGGCACTGCACACAGAAGGCTGGCTGGACACTCATATTGATTATTAATCAAGAAAACACCCCCCCCCCCCCGACTTGGCCTAAACCAATTTGATAGGGGTAGTTTTTGAATTGAGGTTCGGCTTCCCACATAACTTTAGTTTGTGTTAAGTTTATGGGGAAGGAGCAACCAGAACAAAACCCTTTCTGAAATGCTTCTAATTCGTGTTTGGGTTTGACAATGAGATGAGTTACTAATGTCTTTAGGGGGAAAGATAGAGGCTGAATTGTAACTTTCCGATCCCCAAGGACCCAGTGTGCCATTGAAAGGAAACTTTGATGTGGAGTTGGAAGATAAGCATCATAGTATTTTACTGAATCTCCCCTTTTTTTGGTTTCATACTTTTTATTTGTTTGTTGACAGCTTGGAGGACTTGTTTCTCTCCTTCCTCTGTGTGGGTCCTGGAACTCAATAAAACTTAGGTTGTTAATACATGGCAACAAGCTTCTTTACTTGCTGAGCCATGTTGCTAGCTGTTAGAATTACTTAGCTACTTATTTAGCAGTATTTACTTAAAAAGAAAAAAAGGCTGTTTCCCTAACCCACTGAATGAATACACTTTATTTTTGTTAGAAAAACAATTGGAGAGGGTGATAGTGGCTCAGGCTTTTAATCCCAGCACTCAAGAGGCAGGGGCAAGTGGATCTCTGTTAGTTAAAGGCCAGCCTGCTCTACAAAGCTAGCACAGCCAGGACTGTTACACAGAGAAACCCTGTCTTGAAAAAGCCAAAAACAAAACAAACAAAAAAATCAGTTGGAGCATCTATGTGTGGGCTTCTCTGTTCTTCTTGGCCTGTTTCCTTGAGTTGGCCCACTGCTTCATCATCTGAAATGTCACTGTGCCATGCAATTTGATAATGTGGACACTCCAGATTTGTTTTCCACCTTTGTTTGAATTATAGTAGATTCTTGACATTTCTGTATAAATCTTTAGATTGTTGGAGTGTTGTGTCAGTCTTTGAGATTAACTTTTTGGGATTTTCTTTTATTGTAATTACATTGGGTCTGTAAAATTTGGAGAGAATAGTTATTTTATTAATTTAATGTCAGATGTCGTACATTTTATGTAATTGGATTGCATTTTTGGTTATATTGCTTCAGTTAGTAATTTATTTTGAGCCTTTTAAACTTGGGAGATCAAATTCAGCACTTCCTCAGGACTGTAATGTCGTTATTTAAAATGCATTTCTGAGAATGATACTAAATATCCGTGTGTTATGTGCTTTGCAGTGGACTCTTTTTTCTCACATACCCATTGTATATGTTCTGAACCACAGTATAATACTCAACTTCAGACTCAAGGACCTTTCCAGAGATTCCCAAAGTGCATAAACTATGTATGTGTCCACTCCCTTCCTCTCTTTATATGTCTTCTCTGTCTCTCCATCTCTTTTCTGATGCTCTAACTTGGCAAATTTGAAAACTTTGAAGCATTTTTCCCCCAAAAAAATTCAGCCGCTGTCTTTCAATTCAGTAGCTGCTTCTTGGGCAGTGTTGAGAATACCTGTAGGAAGGATAGTAAGCTAAGCATTTCACAGGGTCCGCATTGCTTCTACTTTCTCTCTCAGAGATGCTACCCCTATTCTGCCTATCTTCTAGTATCTGGAAACTTGGTGCACATATTTTTTAATGTTTTTTTTTGTTTGTTTTCATTTAAGAGAGTATATACAGTTCCTAATATTCTGTGTTGCATGAAATTTCTTTAGATTTAGCATTATGTATTAGGTAATGTAAGACTGAATTCAGAAAATATATATAATTCTTTTCCTTAAAAATAAGTGATTTTTTTTAACATTCAAAAGTAATTTCATTGGAATTTTTTTGCAGGGGACAGTTCAGGGTCTTACTGTGTAGCACTGGCTGGCCTTAAACTCAGATATCCACCTGCCTCTCCCCTCTGAATGCTGGGATTAAAGGCGTGTGTCACCATTCCCTGCTACTTTCATTAAATTTTGATTAGGATTTTGTTGTAAATTATTTCTAACAAATCTTACATGTTGAAAAATTGTTTAACTACAATTTTGAGCCTTCGCTTAAAAGTATATGCTACTTGTCACACTATACATTTGAGCCCTGGTTGCAGTTCGTTGGTAAAGTTGTATAATTTTCCTTATAAATGTCTTTGTATTTGAGTTACTTTGTATTAGGTTAATTATTAGTATCTTTCCCCTTCCCTTTAAGTTACTTAATATAGAAACAATATTTTACTTATATTTTTTTGTTTCATATGTATGAGCATTTGGTCTACATGTGTGTGCTTGGTGCCAGTGGAAACCACAAGAGAGTGTAAAATCCCCTAGTACCAGAGTTAACAGAAGGTTGTGAACCACCATGTGGATGCTGGGAACCAAACCCAGCTTCTCTGTAAAAGCAAAAAGTGCTTTTATCCTATGAACTGTCTCTCCAGCCCCATTACTTACATATTTTTATAGTTGATCACAGTATTACTGTTCTAGGTTGTTCTCAAGTTTAAGTATACTCTGTACAGTTAATCTTTGTGTCTCATGTGTTTGACAAGTTATTTTCTGCTTTCTTTGTTTTTTTTTTTAAAAAATAATATACTTTATCTTTTTAAAGCCTAGCTTTTCTTTTTTCTTTCTAGTTTTTATTTGTTCAGAAATCTTTCTCAGGTGAAGCATATGGAGCACTTCTCTCAGTGTGGTCTTGCTTAGGGTTCATTTCAGAAGTGGCTGATGGCTGGCAACACTTTTAAAACGTACATCATTTTGTCTATCCGTATTTTTTTATTTACTAAAAGTTTTGTTTCTATGTCTGCTGTCTAATGTAACAGTTATAAAAATTATAAAACAATTATAGTATCACATCTTAAATGGTTTTATTTTAGCTTAGTCTTGGTTAAGTGTTTAGAGTTTGAGGTTAGACTAATATTTTTTATAAACAATTATGGGAACAAAGTAAAGAAAGAAATTTTAGAAAAATTTTATTCAGAATTAAGTTGAATTGTTATATTTGAGCAATTAAGAGGAACTCTTGTGTGTGTGTTTTGTTTTTGTTAGAAAATTCCAAGAAGATTAGAATTTCTTGGTTAATGTCTCAGAGTTTTTGTTTATTTTTTCCCCATTTTAAAATTTCATTGTAACTTCTGCTAAAGAAATTGTTTTTCTGTTTTTGTAGTTTTGGTAAGCAGTTTGGAGGAAAAAGAGGATGTGATTGTCTTGTATTAGAACCTTCAGAAATGATTGTGGTAAGACGCTGAATTGTTTTTTGATATGCTTCAGTTTCAATTCTAACTACGGTAGACTATAAATATCCAAGGCAGTTACCTGTTGATGATCTAAGACATTGTTTAAGTAGCATCAAAGCCGTGCTGCTTTATGTATTCTTTTCTCTAAAATTCCTTGATCTTTGAAATAATGTACAACATGATAATAGAGATAACATATCCCAAAATTGGCAACTTTCTTAACTGTTGTACCTAAAAATTAAAATACAGGCTTTTGAGGTGTGTGTGTGTGTGTGTGTGTGTGTGTGTGTGTGTGTGTGTGTATGCATGTGTTCATGTATCATTAAAGGGCCATGTTTATTTCTGGTGTTTTCTCCTTTGCCATTGATGTAGTCCATACATTTGGAATGGTTTGAAAGAAAGACTTTGGAGAAAAATAATGGCACATGCAAAATAGGCCTAAGTAAGAAATAGATTAGATCTAATTCTATGCCCTTTAACAATTTAAGGTATTTGGGCTTGTGTTTAATGAAAAATTCTTTTTATTTTTCCATAAGAGGCCATAAAAGTAGCTAGCTATAACTTTATAAAATCTAGCTTTTTAAATATTTTCATATTTATGTGTATGATTGTTTCTCTTGCATGTGTATAAGTAGACCACATGTGCAAGTGTCCACAGAAGTCAGAAAAGTATTGAATGCCCTAGAATTGTAGATACAGGTGCCTGGGAGATGACATAAGGTTCTGGGAACAAAACTCAGAAGTGCTTAACCATTAAGCCATCTTTTCACCTCCAAAATGTCTTTAAAGGAAAACAACTCCAACAGTTGTTTTTACCTTATTCTGAGAACTGTCTAGAAAATGAACTTCTTGTCCTACCAGCATCTCTGTAGATGCTATGTCTTGTGATTGATGGGAAATGTTGTGAAGTGGGGTTGACTTCTTGTTTATTTTATTTCTGATGGTTGTTTTGTGACAAGGTCTCACTATGTAGCTCTGGCTTGCTTCAGGCTTGTTATGTAGACTAGGCCAAGAGAGACCCTCCTGTTTCTGCTTTCACAGTGCTGGGATTAAAGGTATACACCATACCCGGCTAAGGTTGACTCTTAAGCATTTTTGTAAATGCTTGAAACTAAACCTGTTTGCCATTTCATGGCGGTGTAGTCAGATTGATGTCTTTAAGTTCACTCTTCCTCAAAGTGAATCACACATCATCAGATTGCATTAAACCTCCTGTAATTTAAGCTCCTAGAAGAAAAAAAAAATGATGTCTTCGTTTGTGTCTCCCACCCTTAGCTTCAGGAAAGTAAATTCTAAGTTCCTGAGTAGATGCTTAAAATAGCACATAGCACCAAACCTTCTATGTACTGTCTTTTTTCTTTTTCTATGTATACATATAAAGTAGATAAAGCAAGAGGGTATTAAAGATAGTTAATAATAAAATAGGTAACCATAACAATTGCCTGTTGTAAAACTGAGCATGGTCACTTTCTAACTCTTACCCTTACTCACTTTTTTGGTGACTGTAGTTAATTAGAACTCTAAGGAAAGAAAAAAAATGACAGATGAAGGGACGTTTAGTATATTTGCAAAGGGCTGTCTATGTAGTTAGTACATGTTCAGTCAGTTATGTTTGAGACACGGACTTTTACTTTTCTTTAAGCACTGGATATCTGAAATACTCAGTCAGTCATGAAAATTCCTTCTTTAAGTGTATATATATTAAAGGGTATGACAAGAATACCATTCTTAATTTGGCACATTTACCATTTTTTATACATGTGGGAAGTAGTGGTGCTGGAACGGCAGTCGTCTTACAGTCAGTGTGCGGTAATTCTTAGTGCACATAGACACTGTATATAGCTGCATGTCTCTGTAAGAAAAAGTCGGAAAATTTTTAAGCTACAATCTCATCTTACATTATAGTGCTGCTTTAAACCTGGAATTATTAGCCTTTTCTGTAAAGGGAGTTTGGTTAATTTTTTTTTTTTTTCCAGAAAATGTTTAGGAACCAACCATGCTCTGGCTGCTGGTTATGCCTAGTTTCTCTCCCTCAGTGAAATACATGTCAGCCCTGTCTAACACATGTGCACATATCTGTGTTAATTTCTCCATATAGATTTCTGTTTAAACTCATAGATTATTCTGGTGTTTAACAATATCCTTTTACTAAGAGTTAGAATTTGTTCGCTTACATTATCATGTATCTATTAATTTATTCGTAATTGTTTAAGCATTGGGCTGGTGGGATGTTCAGTATGTAAAGGTGCTTGCCACCAGTCTGACAACCTGCATTACAGAAAGAGTTCCCTGATCTCCCACACTTGGTGTGGCTGGTGTGCATGTGTGAGTGTGTGCTAAATAATGTAAGAAAATGTTAATAAAAATTGTCTTAAGAATTGTTTACCCATAACATAGAAAACACAACTAATTAGAAGCCAGGCATGATAATTCATACTTAGAATTCTTATAATTCCAACACTTGACAAGATGATGGCATGATGATCATGAGTTCAAAACCATATAATGAATTGGAAGTAGCATGAGTTACCTAAGAGCTTGTCTCAAAAGATTAAAAAAAAAAAAAAAAGGAAAGGAGAAAAACTAGCATGAGGAAAGAAGTATTACTAGTGAGAATACTAACATACAGATATTTGTGTGTATATGTATGAGTTTGTTTGCTTTGGGTTTTTTGCTTTGTTTTGTTTGTTGTTGTGTAGTTTTTGGGTTTTTTCAAAACAGGGTTTCTCTGTGTAATAGACCTGGTGTCCTGGAACCGCTCTGTTCGCTGGTCTCGAACTCATAGATCCGCCTGCCTCTGCCTCCTGAGTGCTGGGATTAAAGGCGTGCACCACCAATGCCTGGTACAAATATATGTACATATTTAATGAGGAAAATTATTGGCTGGAATTTTGATGTATATATGTATTAAATGTACATTTTAAAAATATATATCAGTGGATTTCCCTTCCATATGCCTTTATCCATCTTCCTTTTAACAAATAAGATAGTTTTCATTACCTGACAACAAGGTAAAGGAAATATTTAAGAGAATTTAAATATTTGAGCCAGATCAAAAGCACCCCCTTTGGCCAAACCTAGGATATTTGGGAATCCAAGTAAAATTTTATAATAATAATGTTACCTTCATGTGTTATACAAGAAGTTAAAACCTTGACAATAATGAATAAATGAAGAAGAAAGGTGAGGTAGCTCTCCTTGTTTGTAGAATGCCAACTAGCAAATAGTTAGCACTTGGTTTAACATTGGAAAAACTAGGGAGGCTAATGCTTAATTAGGGAACCAGAATCCTTAGGTCATGTCAGAGTATGTCCCTCGAAATTATTTATGAAGGGAACATTATTAAACTTCTGATGCTAAAATACGATGGATTTTTACCAAAGTAGTAGTTATTGCTACTGCCATCATATGTGTGCTAACAGTGCATTAGTCCTGCTGTGACAACATTGAAAAGGACAAAGGCTTTTCTGGGATGTATTATTGCTCAGCATTCATATTTAAACCAAACTCTCACACATTACTAAACAAATAAATTAGAGGGCATTCTACAAATTGACGAGACTGTACTCTTTAAATATCTCAATGGCAGGAGATAAAATAGAACACTCATGGAACCATTCTAAAAGACACAAGTGTGGCATCTAAATAAACATTTATCTGCCTGGCCTTTTTTTCCTCCCCAAAACAAGAACCTTGAATCTAATTTTCTTTGTTTAGGTTTTTTTAAATGTGGGTGTCGTTTTCTAGGCTACTTCCTTGCTGATTGGGGGTGCTGATAATCTTAATAATGGGGACCCAAAGAAAATTTTGGATTATAGCCAAGTGCTTACTGGCGTATTCTATGAGGCTGGATCATTTCAGCCAGCAGTCTTGAAGCTGTTCTAGATGTAGAATTCAGAGGAAACTGCAACAAATGTACTCTGAAACACTGATCATCTGAGTCATCTGTTCCCATTGGAGATTTTTTTAGGGGGTCTTTCTTCCTTGATCAAGCCTTATTTTTCTTAACCCGATGAATCCATAGCCTCTCACTTCCTGTGGAAAATAAAAGCAAAACCTCTTCTCCAAAGTAACATATCTTCTTACTTAAATTTTGAAGTCAAGGCATTTTCATCAAACCTTATTTTTTTGTCTTTTTTTTTATTGAGAATAAGAAAAAAGTTTCCGCCTCCTCCCAGCCTCCCATTTCCCTCCCCTTC